TATGGAGAATACAGTTAATGACCTACTTCGTCGTTAGAGGACGTGATACGTAGATCGATGACTTTCTCATGAACCCATCATGACGCGATTCTGAAGTGTGATACACCAAAATACTCGACGAATCTACAGCTTCTATGCGGTGAATGAGAATTAAATCAATAGCCGATATCATCGTTGGAGGACGTGACACGTCGATTTATGACATTTTCATGAAACTTACCTTGTGCCTCTCCAGGTCCACCAAAAATACTCGAGGAACCTGCTACATCTCTGCGTGTAAGGAGAATAACGTAAACGGCCGAACTCGTCGTTAGGGGACTTAATACGTCGATTGATGACATTCTCATGAACCTATCTTGAAGCGTTTCTAAGCACTAATACACCAAAATACTCGACGTACCTATAGCTTCTATGCGTTAAAGGAGAATTAAATGAAAGGCCGAAATTATCGTTTTAGGAAGTGACACGTCTATTTATAACATTCTCAATAACCTTACCTTATGCCTTTCTAAGCAGTAGTCTACCAAAGTACTACAGGAATCTGCTGCTTCTCTGCATGTCAGGAGAATAATGTGAATGCTCTAACTCGAGGTTAGAGGACGTGATACGTAGATTGATGACAATCTCTTGAACCTATTTTGACGCGATTCTGAAGTGTGATACACCAAAATACTAGACGGATCTGAAGTTTCTATGTGTTGAGGGAGAATTAAATGAATAACCTAAATCATTGTTCGAGAACGGGACACATCGATTTACGATATTCTCATAAAGCTTACCGTATGCCTTTCTAGGCAGTAGTTCAACAAAACACTTGAGGAATCTGCTGCTTCTCTGCATGCAAGGAGAATAAAGTGAATGGCCTACTTCGTCGTTAGAGGACGTGATACGTAGATTGATGAAATTCTCATGAACCTATCCTGCCGCGTTTCTAAGCAGTGATACACCAAAGGACTCGACGGGTCTACAGTTTCTATGCGTTGACGGAGAATTAAATGAATGGTCGAAATCATCGTTGGAGGACGTGACACGACGATTTATGACATTTCCATGAACCTTACCTGATGCCTTTCTAGGCGGTAGTCCACCAAAGTACTCGAGGAATCTGCTGCTTCTCTGCATGAAAGGAGAATAAAGTGAATGCCCTGACACGTCGTTAGAGTACGTGTTACGTTGGTTGACGACTTCCTCCTGAACCTACCTTGACGCGATTCTGAAGTGTGAGACACCAAAGGACTCGACGGATCAACAGTTTCTATGCGTTGAAGGAGAATTAAATGAATGGCCGAAATCATCGTGGGAGAACGTGAGACGTCAATTTATAACATTATCATGAACTTTACCTTAAGCCTTTCTAGGCAGTAGTCCACGAATGTACTCGAGGAATCTGCGGCTTCTCTGCATGTAAGAAGAATATAGTGAATGGCCTAACTCGTCGTTAGAGGACGTGATACGTAGATTGATGACCTTCTCATGAACCTATATTGATTAGATTCTGATGAGTGATACACCAAAGGNACCTTCTCATGAACCTATCTTGATGAGATTCTGATGAGTGATACACCAAAGGACTTGACGAATCAACAGCTTCTGTACGTTGAAGGAGAACTAATGAACGGCCGAAATCATCGCTGGAGAACGTGAGACGTCGATTTATAACATTATCATGAACTTTACCTTAAGCCTTTCTAGGCAGTAGTCCACGAATGTACTCGAGGAATCTGCGGCTTCTCTGCATGTCAGGAGAATAAAGCGAATGGCCTAGCTCTTAGTTAGATTACGTAATACGAAGATTGATGACTTTCTCATGAACCTATCTTGACGCGATACTGAAGTGTGATATACCAAAGGACTCGACGAATCTACAGCTTCTATGCGTTCAAGTAGAATTAAATGAATGGCCGAAATCATCGTTGGAGAACGTGAGACGTCTATTTATAACATTATCATCAACTTTACCTTATGCACTTCTAGGCAGTAGTCCACCAAAGTACTCGAGGAGTCTGCGGCTTCTCTGCGTGTAAGGAGAGTGTAGTGAATGGTCTAACTCGTCGTTACAGGACGTGATACGTAGATTGATGGCCTTCACATTAACCTATCTTGACGCGATTCTGATGGGCGATACACCAAAGGACTTGACGGATCTACAGCTTGTATGCGTTGAAGGAGAATTAAATTAAAGGCCGAAATCACCGTTGGAGGACCTGACACGCAGATTTATGACATTTTAGTAAACCTTACCTTATGCCCTTCTAGGCAGTAGTCCACCAAAGTACTCTAGGAACCTGCTGGTTCCCTGCATGTCAAGAGAATAAAGTGAATGGCCCAACTCGTCATTAGACTACGTGATAAGTAGATTGATGACGTTCTCATGAACCTATCTTGATGAGATTCTGATGAGTGATACACCAAAGGACTTGACGAATCAACAGCTTCTGTACGTTGAAGGAGAACTAATGAACGGCCGAAATCATCGCTGGAGAACGTGAGACGTCGATTTATAACATTATCATGAACTTTACCTTAAGCCTTTCTAGGTAGTAGTCCACCAAAGTACTCAAGGAATCTGCTCCTTCTCTGCATGTCAGGAGAATAAAGTGAATGACCTAACTCTTCATTAGATTACGTGATACGAAGATTGATGACTTTCTCGTGAACCTATCTTGACGCGATTCTGAAGTGTGAAATACCAAAAGACTCGACGAATCTACAGCTTCTATGCTTTGAAGGAGAATTAAATGAATGGTCAAAATCATCGTTGGAGGACGTGACAGATCGATTTATGACATTTTCATGGACCTTACCTTATGCCTTTCTAGGCAGTAGTCCACCAAATTACTCGAGGAATCTGCGGCTTCTCTGCATGTAATTAGATTGTAGTGAATGGCCTAACTCGTCGTTAGAGGACGTGATACGTAGATTGAAGACTTTCTCATGAACCTATCTTGAAGCGATTCTGAAGTGTGATACACCAAAGGACTCGACGGATCTACAGCTTCTATGCGATGAAGGAGAATTAAATGAAAGGCTGAAATCATCGTTGGAGGACTTGACACGTCGATGTATGACATTTTCATAAACCTTACCTTATGCCTTTTTGGCAGTAGTCCACCAAAGTACTCGAGGAACGTGCTGCTACTCTGCATGTAAGGAGAATGAAGTGAATGGTCTATGTCGACGTTAGAGGACGTGATACGTCGATTGATGACATTCTCATGAACCTATCTTCCCGCGTCTCTGAGCAGTGATACACCAAAGCAATTGACCAACCTACAGCTTCTGTGAGTAGTATAGCTATAGGGATACTGTGACACTTCGATGACCTGTCCATCCGCAGTCCCTTACCATGGCCTCCAAAGACACCTTGGAGGTCATTCTTCAGCTGATGAATGACCTCTATGACACCTTGAAGGTCATTCTTCAGCTGAAGAAGTTCTTAACAGCCTCCGGATTGTCCTCGTAGTGGGCGGAGCCTGAAGAATAACGTCTAAGGCTCTTTGGAGGTCATTCTTCAGCTGAAGAAGTGCGTCTGGATTGTCCTCATGGTTGGCGGAGAGCCTGTACGTATGTATATGTGTGTGTGTATGTATGCGTGTTTGTGTGCGTCCGTGTTGTTTGTAATGCAGCCTAAGCGAGCTTGATCGAATTATAAGTATAATTGACGGCTATCTGCTGTGTATGTATGTATGTACGTGTATGGGTATGCATGTATAACATGAGAGAAAGAGGCTTTTGTTTTTCGTTTACCTCATCGCTTATGATTAATAATATTTATTGATCATGAATGTTACATAATAAACAAAAGAGGAAACGTCGCAAAACAGGACGAAACCTGCATAGATTTACTGAGAGTTTAAGTTTTATTGGTAAATAATGAAACACACAGACGAAGAAGTAATTTTAGTTGTATATGTAGTGATATGTACGAGTAGTTACATGTAAATATCATCTTAAATAATATACAATATACTTAAAACTATGCTAATTTCTTTTAAAAATAAAACATTATTGTTAGTAAAATTATAAATAATAAACTTTTACAAACAAAAGTAGTAATTAATGTGTTTGTAATTACGTAGAATATTTAAAACAGTCTATTTTAAACGTTATTTATATCCCCATGGATACGTATCCGTTGTTAAAGTATTTATTATTCTCTTGTCATCATATGGGCTAAGTGCGACCTTTCTTTGTTTGACTGTATAGACGTTATGTTTTTTAGAAATAATTAAATTTTGATTGGCCTCTATGATTTGATTATAGAATAAACATTTATAATAATCATCAAAAGTGATTCCTCTAATTGTTGCCTTTGTTATTCCTTTAATTTTCTTCGTAATATCTGTATTATTATTTTCTTTGTTAAAAAGTCTGATTGCATACATTTTCGATCTGAGTCCAATGAATTCAGAAAAGATTTTACCATTGTTTTCATCTTTCATTAAACCCATTACTTTTTTATTCGTTAAAGGTATATTGTATTCATTATCTTGTGAAAAGTCTGATGTATCAAATTTATGTAAATCACATTTTATGTGATGGTATATATCATCGACAAAGAATTGATATATGAGTGAATCTGTATCAGTATAGAGAAGTTTAGCAGAATTAGAAAATTTATTTTGAATGTAATTATAATGAAAGTCATACAGTACAGTTTTCGAAATGTCAAGAATACAAAATCCTACGTAAATTGGTTTATTGAATTTAATATTTAATCGTTCCATCTCTATTATAATCATATTTTCATTGAATATAGTACAACTATGGAAATTTGGTTTAGAAATGTAAAAATTAGCACCATATCTTCCTGTCCATTTCGTTACTAATTTAACGTCTCTATATTTTCGTACGTTTTCCATTGTTTTACCAAATACTGAGTTATTCATAAGTTTGTAAAAGTTTTTTTCGAATTCATTTTTACTAGCTTTCCGTAAATTCGTATTTAAATCAACAAATTTTTTTAACCACGGAGATTGTTTAAATTTTAGTACTCTATGAATTTTTTCAAGTTTAATACCTAAGCTTAATGCTTGTTTTAAATTTTTATAGTGAATGATATATTTTTTCTTATCAAAAAGTGTTGTTAACAGTTTAGGTGTCTTTGAGCTAGATGTAGGTGGGACTAAATGTTCAGGAAGTAACGGTAAATCTTTGTGTGTTTCGTGTAATGCATCTGGATAATGTATATCGACTTCAAATATGTAACCGTATTCATTATTATCATTAATGTCATCAATATTAATTGAGTAAATGTCATGGACCCATTCAAATTTTCCTTCAGGTAGTGGAAAACTCATTGCATAACCATACAAATTGTTTACGTCGTAATACATTAAATATGATGTAGGTTCGTTAGGATTAAATTCATCTACCATATATTTATTGTTTGCTTTTCCGTAGCGATTACAACATTGTGATATTCCCCCTCTTATACCTCGTTCTATAAACATTATCATATCTATATCGGTTAATAGTTCTAATTCAATTTCTGTTATTTTTAACATACTATCAAAAGCAAGACCTGGTGCAGTATAATAATGTAAACTATCTAATTTATATGTTGTCCAACATGTTGATCTAAAATTTTCAAATATATCAGCAAGCAATAGCACATCTGTTTTTAGATATAATTCCGCATACTCTTGCAAATTATTAATTTTGAATGTCTTCCACACATTACATGCATGATCGTATTCCGTTTGAGAAATGTTACAATCATAAATTGAACTATAAAAACATTCTCGAGGTGGTAATTTAATATCTTGTAATTTTTCCCAACAGTCTAGATATTCATACGGAAAAACTCCCTTACGCTGAACTAATTCAAATTCTTCATCATTTTGGTAATACTTCCTTGTGATAATTTTTTGTTTCTTTTCTAAATAAGATGATAATTTATCTAAGCTGCTAGCCATAAAACGAAAAGAATCTAAAAATCTAAAACTTACATTAGTTTTTTCTATATATTTTGTGAATGAAATATACTTCTCTTTATTAACCGGCAATAAAGAAATATTACCTTTTATTTCTACGCTTAAAGCTTTAATTATGAAATGACTGTCATATCCGGATAAATTGTGAAAAATTACAGGTATTGTATGACTATTCTTATAATTCAAGTTACAATTTGAATGCGCTGGACCTCTTTAATTTCCTGTTAAATGACAGTGATCCTTTACTTTAACATTTTCACTACTTAATGGTTTACAACAAATATGACAATATGTAGCAGTAAGATGTTGATTTTCTTGTTCATATGGTAATTTTTTAATTGGAATAATGTTTGAAAAAATATTTTTAAATTCGAAAGCTAAAGTTTCAAGTTCCTTAACGAACCATGTAATACAATCCTTCCCTCTATATAACTTAAATTTAGAAAGAGAATCATCATAATAACACTTTAGATAATATGCAATACTGAAAGGCTCGTGTTTCTATTACTTTTGCATTTTGCTTGTACATTTTAAGTCATTGTGTTTAACTAGTATACTTTCCAAATCAGCACAAATTACAAACGGTAAGTAGTAAAGTAAGCGGGGTTCTATATATGGGTCACGGCTCCCCAAATCTAGGCCACGGTCCATCCATCAACATCTTACCAATTTTGGATCTTTAGAAGGTCTTTCTAGGTCATTCTTCATCTGAAGNTAATAAAAGTTATTGGAACAGATGGATAGAATACAAAAGCTTTAGAAGATAACGTTGAGAAATATTTACACAGAAAAGGAATATTATACAAAAGATTTACATATTTACAAAACTACATTATATAAACAGGGTGCTCTAATTTATGTTGGTCGCTACAAATGAATGGTCGAAATCATCGTTGGAGGACGTGACACGTCGATTTATGACAATTTTATGAACCTTACCTTATGCCTTTCTAGGCATTAGTCCACCGAAGTGCTCGAGGAATCTGCTGCTTCTCTGCATGTCAGGAGAATAAAGTGAATAACCTAATTCTTCGTTAGATTACGTGATACGTAGATTGATGACTTTCCCATGTACCTATCTT